AAAAAAAAAAAAAAACCTTAGATGAAATTTCACTTCAAATCCTACATTCACACTTAAGATTTCACAGCACTCCTCAAAAGTTAACAATTTTAAAAAGTCTCCAATCTTAGTACCTTAAAATCTCAACTAAAATACATCTCCCTACGACTTTTTCATCTGGGAAAATATTTAAGATACAAATAGTAAAATAAATTGGAAACTAATTCGAATTGCACATTCCGTTGTCGTCCAGTGGTTAGGATATCTGGCTTTCACCCAGGAGACCCGGGTTCAATTCCCGGCAACGGAACTACATTTTTTTGCTGGCTCTTTTTGCTCGCTGGTGGGGATTTTCTCGGAGTTTAATCCAATTATTTCGGTATTATTCATTATGTTCCAATCTGCTTTGTTTATCATATTGAGCAGGTCACGATAGTTTTATATTTCTTTACTTAATTATTTATTCTAATATATGTGCTTATTTGTCACTAATACATTCATCAAACTATGATTTTTCTTTATGAATTTTTCTTTATTACTTTTAATAATGATTTGTTAAAATTTATGCTTCAAATGCATATATAATTATATATAGAGACCCATTTTTTGTACATTGACATTAAGTATAAACTCAGTTTTTATTACCCTTGTAACCAGCTGAAAGTTCAATAACCAAAGTAGTTCCAAAGGGTGATTGAGCGACACCGGCGAACATCAGCCTCTGTCTAGCCGCCATCTCCGAGGCAAAAAGTTCTAAGTCGTTCACTTAACACTCAGCAAAAAAAAAAAAAAACCCAAATTGGCATCTGATAATTGCCGGCAAACAAAAATCAAAAGGGAAATTGGTACATTACGAAAGTCTCAACTTCAAGTTAGTTCAAAAGCATCTGAAAATAGTAACAAACTATTGGATCCAATGAATATATAATCGATATCCCAGCAAGGCTAATTTTTTTCGTCTCCTGGGGCAACAGTACACAAATTTATATATATATTCTCCCACCATAAAAGCTTCTTCCTCAATTATGCAACAAAATGCTAGTCCGTTGGCGGGCAGAAACTAATCTATGGAAAAAAGTTTTTTTCTTTTCTTTTCTCTCAACCATGAAACACAAAAATAAATGGGGAATAGAAAAATGTTTACCCACTAGCAACAATTTCGTGGATGGCATCACTAACATTCACATCATCGGATCTTACAGCTAACTTCATAGCCACCTCTTTTGACCCATCAATACCAAATGATAACCGCACGAGCACCTTCACATTCCCAATGTAAACACCCGATAGCAAACATGTGTGTGATCTTGAGTTGCTGGGGACCACTTCCGTACCCTGGTAAAAAGCAAGCGGGAAAATTAATTGTGTGTGTATTCTTTGATCTTTTTTTTTTTTCAATTACCAACTATTGCAGCCAGCCCTCAAGCTTCGACAACAATACATAAAAGACTAAATGTTATCATTTAACTGTTTTAAGGAAGTTCAAACACTGACCTCACAGGGTTGCATGCCAAGGAGATTGATGACTGCATTTACAGCTTCAGAAAGGCTTTCTCTAGGCCCAAGTCCATATTCATCTACACGCTCAGAATCGGGATCCATGCTTTCCCAGGCATTCTTAAAGTTGGAGACTCCAACTTTCAGAATATAATCAGCAGCCACAACTTCGAAATCCTCTAGCTGGTATTCGTCCTCCACACCATCGTCTTCGGCCTCACCAGTAGATGGATCGACCTAATCAGAATTTGAGCAGGAATTAAACAAGTGAAAGAATACAACTTGATTACTGGTATAGGTAAAGCATGATGCTGTCTTACTAGGAAAACACAAGCAATGTCCCCTTAAATATAAAATCTAACTTGTGTAAAATTTACCTCTTTAACAGTAAATCTCAACACGTTTGAGAGTTTTCCGACTGCAGGGATTCCTTCAGGTTTCTCAAAAGCCACGAAAGTTTGCGCTGGTGTATCATATGGAAGCGACTTTAACGGTTTTGCACCTACTTCAGAGAATTCCTCAGCTTCAGAAGCATCCACAATAACGGTCACCTAGACACAGGAATATGGATAAGAAAAAGAATTTAGATACTTTTACAAAAAAGAATATATAATACTTCCAAAAAAATATGGTGTTTTACATTTTCAAGCAGCTGCTCTGGTATAGTATTTGTGCAGTTGTATTGAAACACCACATGGCTGTCAAATATGTGCTTGACAACATTAACTGCATACTCGGTTTCTTCTTCTGTAAGCTCCACAGGCGGTGATGACTGTCATGAGGCATGAAAATCAGTGAAAACTGACTCTAGAGATATTACCAGAACAAATTGTGGTAGAAATCCACAATTTAAATAACGGCTGTTTGCAAAATTTTGCCTCAATATTTACCCCCCTAACAAGAGAAACCAGTTTCATTCAATTTCCACTTACCCTCGACATTTGTTACTCTTATAATAATTACACTCACAAGATGGACATATGTCAAACACTTTACGAGAGTTTCTAATTTTATAAGGCAATGAAGTTACTCTGTAATGAACCCTTTTTCGAAAATGTTTATCACAAACCTTGAAAAGCTTTCCGAAACTTCCAAATTCAGGAATAGCAGAGAGAAGCCTTTCATAAGCATCAGCTGCAGAGGTGGGGGCAGGGGGTGGAGCACCCAAACCAGTCTGCTTTTTGCCTATGGCCTTCTTCTCAGCAAGAGGCTGGGACCTAACATCTTTAGGGACAGAATTAATATCAAAAGGCTCTTCCATGGGGTTCTGCACCTGTTTCACAAAAAAAAAAAAAA